TCGGACTCTGAGCATGAGATTAACGAAGACAGTGACAATTGTGAATCTTTAAAAAGTGAACAGAAGAGAATAGTCAGAAGAGATGCGATTGTTCATCATCGGGAAGATGAGTTTTCCATACCACACAAATTAAAGTTTACGAGAGGTAAGGCGATTGAACTTCAGCCTGAAAACAATGGTCCAAAAAGGCTAAGATTCAGGAGAGGAAGAATGGTGGATAGAAACGTCAACAGCAGTCACTTAGAGAGGGAGAACTTCCAAAGGAGTGAGATGGCCGACGTGGTAACTGACTCAAAACCAGAAACTCAAAGCATTGTGCTAAAACACCAAGATACACAGGAGAAGGATGTGCGAGGCTTATTCAACAATGTGATAGAAGAAACCACGAATAAACTAGTGGAGACTAGGAAGAGCAAGGTGAAGGCATTGATCGGTGCATTCGAAATTGTGATCTCTCTCCAATAGAGCAAACTAGAATCTACAATGACATTCTTTTTCTGATAACTGACTCAATGCTAGTAGTAGAACTGTCAGTGTTCACTTCTTCCAATGTTTATAAAGTGAAAAAAAATTGTATCATAGAGTAGTAGTGTGGATATACAAAGTATACATGAACTTGTATATGGGAAGATGCTTGTCTAAATATGTCAACATGTTCAGGGAAGTTGGCTCATTCGAAAAGTTCTTGTGGGGTGGTACAAGTGATTCCTGTCATGGAACCTATTCCTGTAATGGTACTTATCCCTTGTAGTCAGTAAGTGCACTGTTCTCTTTGGTTTGAGATTCTACTGAATAAGAGGTGCTTTTTCTTTGTTCAAAATATTTGTTACATTGGTTTCAAGTTTGAGATTAATTTAGGATTAGAGCAGGAGTGTGTAAAGAATTCATATCGATGTATTAGAAAAGAAGATACTTTTCCTCATTGCTTAGTCGCTACTGAATATACAATAAAGATATTTTAAAATACTTGGAATGTTCTATTGAAGTCGAAAAGTATAGGATTTTTGGGGAAGATAATAGAGTTACAAATTGGTTAGCTAATCGTGTTGGGATCTCCAAATCCAACATCATTTGGAGTTGTTTGATTTACAAATCAAAGACACCAATCATCAATGCTACCACACCAGCTCTGCTTTAGAAATTTATGGATAATGAGTATTTAGGGAGTGATGGCCGCTACTACTAACAATAACAAGACAAAATTGATCATTCTATTTATCTTCGTAATGGCATCTTTGAAAGAGCAAAAATATTGGCATTGAGAACATATTTTTTAACTCGTCTAAATTTGCAGATATTAGTTTTAAGGGTCAAAATAAGTTCAGTGTGACAATGACCAATAAATTATCTAAATTATCTTTTGCCGATAGCAGAGAATAACCAATAAATTACCCTTCTGATTTTTTTTTTTTTCCAACACAGTCACCATTATGAGGTGTTTCAATAGAGTTACGGTGATTCACTCTACTGGACTACAGAAGTACTGAAACAAACCATCAACACTTACCAACTGCACACCCAATGCAAACATGAAAATCCATAACTATCCATCCATTGTAACTTGCAAGAAACTTTTTATATGGCTCAAACCAGATGGACAGCGCCACTCGTAAACTCTTATCAGGAATTTGCTCAATAATGTAACATTTCAAAAAGTCAATCAAACAGGTACACTATGATGCCTTTGGGCAACTCATGCACAAGTTCAGGTGAATCTCATGCACGAAATACAAAACTAGCCATTACTTAAGACATTGTATTGAAAGAAAGAACAAAGGATTTGCTTTTCTAATTAATGATCCATATAACATAAAAGACAAAATCAGCTTCACATGTAGATCACTCAAAATCAGATAACAACTGCATGAAAGGTTTGATAAATTCTCTTGGAAACATGTGTTCTCTAAGAAGCTTGATTTTCATCAGCAGCAGCTTCAAATGTCTCACCAGGCACCAGCTCAGGGACATCATCATCGTCATCCTGTTTCGCAGGTGCACCTGCACCAGGTGCCTGTTTCTGCAAGTGCTCCGCAAGCCTCTTCAGGTTTTCTAAATTATCAGGTCCTGGGAAAAAAGAAAATATCATCAAAAATTCATGTACTACATACAAAACAACCAGAGACATAATATCTTGCAAGATGCCAACTACCAGGTTCAGCCATGGCACTAGTTATCCCATATAGCAATGCAAACACAGTAGAAAGTAGAAACAACCACATTTGGTAAGCAACAAAATATTTGACACCAGTAGCATTCAACATTTGGGAACAGCAATGGAACATAATCAACATGAATCTAGATGATTGAGCAAGACAAAATGAAAACTAATCAGCATGCACATATTGTAAAGAAGCTACACACTCAAGACCACCATAATGTACAATTGCAAGTTAGTAACTTGGCAGTGACAAAAATGCCATAATGAAAGCTAAACACAATGTCCAAACTATATTAACATTAAATGAGAATACCTAGTTGGTTAATGATCCCGGGTAGCAGATCTTGAAGTTCTGTCACAAGAAAATCGTGTGTGAGTTGTCTTAGTAAGTAAGGGATTCCAGAAAAGATGACAACTAAAATCCAAAAGAAAATTTTCATGAATCATCTCATATTTATCAACACCAGGCCAATCTAACAGATACTCGTCAAGTCACATACTCTTTGTCTGAGGAGACCCACTAACAACCCATGTATTGGCTGCAATTGAAGCTTGCACTGAGAAAATGTGGAAAAATTCAGTAAATCATTTGGCAATGATTTAGTGTTTCTTTTAATGAATGTGATGTGCTTTACCCTTAGGGTTAACAAATTGAATAACAAGATCATCCTTAAAAATGTTAACTTCTTCTATAGCTGGAATGGCATTCACGCCTATTCTCTTCAAGGTGCTTTGAAGCCTCTTATCATCAGTTGTTGTAGTCTTGTGAACTGCCTTCTTCTTCCTGATCAAAATGCAGACAAACAAAATAAGGCACTTAAAAGTGTTTGATTTAACTGACCTCTAAAGGGTACTAGCATAAATTGCACATTGACAAAATATTTAGCCTCTAATCATTACTACAGATAATCAAACTGATCAAGGTACTAGTATCTCAAAATTGGCAATAGAATAAAAATAAACCTGCGCATACTGCCCTTTCCCCCAGTGCGAACCGCACCAGCCATCTTCATGAGCTTCTCTACATTCATCTGCATGGAAAAGGAACATCATGTGACATGAATTAGAAGGTACCTTTGTCAAGCATGACTAGATCACATTCTAACTAAATACTTCAGTTATCAGAACCAGTAAAAATAAAAAATAGAATAAGTCAAGGATTTCAAAATTTAAACACTAACGACAGTTGCAAGAATATAGCAATACGATGAAGTAACACATGCAATCCCGACAATCTAATTAATTTGGCCAAAGATTAAATCAGAATAAACCAAATATTAGGTTTTACTCAATACTTTAAAGAGTGAGTCCTAATAGAAGACCACAACACATGCACTATTTTAATGAAGATATCAAATTGGCTCAAACTAGAAACCCTCAGTAACAAGGACTAGATAAGAATGGCAATCATAACATCTTTGTTTTCCTCGACTTCATCACAGAAGATAAAGAAATCACAAATATGAGGATCTCAGCTGGTGACTCGTCATTCTTAGATCTATTTTTTTATTTCAACAAACAGAGACAAAATTCTCTAAAATTTCCATTGTTATTTTCATTAGGTTAATGTCTGACAGGAATAATATTCTATGACAAAATGCCTCGTTTATATATATATATATATAATAATATAT